CAAAAACAGAACAGGCACTCTCCTTCCTATTTAAAAATACAGGTGTCCTATCACAAGAAACAGCCAAGTGCTTACTGCTTGTCCCAGAAGTGGGCTACATGATTCGTGCACTTTTTTCACTTAACCGTCATAAATATGCCATTACTGGAAATCACTACCTCCATTTTATAGACGATGAAACTGGAGGTCAGAGAGGATATAGGATATGCCCTAGGTCACCAGCCAGGAAATGGTGGGAATGGATTCAATTCCACTCCCCACTCTGCTGTAAACATGTTTGGGATGCCTTTATCCATCATGTAATAAATGTGTATTGAGTACCAACTGTGTGCCCAACACCATGTGCTGGTGTTGGATCCCAAAGATCTACAAGTCTAGTTGGAGAGACACAGGCAAGTTAAATTTTTAGAAGCCATTATGGTTTGCGAAGAAAGTACATGCAAAGAAATTTAGAGCTGGGACTTCCACTTGGAGCAATCAGGAAACGCGTCATGGAGAGACTGGTGGGTCTTGAACTGGGAAGAAGGGAAGGAATTGGAGGATGAAGTATGGAACAGACCCTCCAGCTGGGAGGCTGCAGCCAGTGCCTGTACCTGCTGATAGGGCAGGTGTCAGGGAAGTACCACTTCCTGGTGAAGAGCCTTGGCCTGTGGCCAGGAGACCAAGAACTGGTACAATGTTTTTTTAAAAGGGGGGAAAAAGGGCATTTAGAGTCTACCCTAACCATTAGGACACAGAACATTCTGCACTGAGATCCTCAACCATGTGACCTGGTGTCTCTTGCAGCATCTCCTTCAGAGAGCAGGCGATGGGCACACCTAGCCGCCCGCGTCCCCTCTCCCCCCACCCCCATTCTACAGCAGTCACCTGGCCCCAAGGCTGCCAGGAGAGGGTGGTCAAGGAGCTGACAGTTCAATGAGGAGACACAACTGCTGCCCAAGAACCAAATTTATGTCATGCGTGTTTCGTTTGACCCACATGTTGTTTTGTGTTTTTTAATGTTCAGTTCGTTGCAAACGTTTAAAAGCTGCACGATATCACAGAGAGAAAGGAGGTTCAGCCTCTCTTTAAAACCGAGTTTTAAAGGTGCTCCTGTGAGCCCTCTTCCTCACACAGCACAGCAGCCGCAGAGGGACACCTCCTGTCTCCTTCGCACAGGGCTTGCTCTTCCCCCGTCATAGTCCAGTCCCACCAGCTCACACTCAGTCTCCTTGCCACCTGGCTACTGTTGATTTATTCTTTTTCAGTTTCTTAAACTTAACAGACATCAAAAAACACATACAAGCGCGAGGCTGTGAGCCCTCTTCCTCACACAGCACAGCAGCCGCAGAGGGACACCTCCTGTCTCCTTCGCACAGGGCTTGCTCTTCCCCCGTCATAGTCCAGTCCCACCAGCTCACACTCAGTCTCCTTGCCACCTGGCTACTGTTGATTTATTCTTTTTAAGTTTCTTAAACTTAGCAGATACCAAAAAACACACACAAGCACGAGGCTTAATGAGCTCTATAGAGCACCGTCGCCACAACCCGTTGCTCCATTTTCCTTTAACCTGAAGTTTCGCTGGGAAAAATTCTGGCAAGCTTAGTTTTTCTACTATAACTTACTGGGTCATTTGTTTAAATACTGAAGAAAAAAAATTTTTTTAAGTATAATAACTTTATTATATGTCCTGTTAGTTATTCTGGGTCTGTTTATTCAGTTTTGGGGTATTCCCTTCAATGTTTATTTAAATTTTGTTTTTTTAATCTCAGAAATGTTTGCTAGAATTATGGCAAATACAGTTGTTAATATTTATTCTATTTCCTTGCTTTAATTTTCTTCTTTCAGGAAACCTATTTTATAAATGTTGAACTCTTTTTTTCTGCCTGTCTGCTATATTTGTCACTTTCTCTTAAATCTTTTTTATTCATTTTGTTTTGATTTTTAAAAATTTTCCTCTTTCTCATCTTCTATTTATCTTAAGACATTGTTTATCCATTCTCGTCTTCCTAGGGGTTCCTGAGGCATTGATGCTCCAGCCACCCCCCAATCCCCACCCAATACAGGCCTCACCTCAAACCCTCACTCACCTACTAGGGTGTGCAAACTCCTGTTTCCGTTGCTTTTCTCAAACTGCTGAGATTTTGAGGTCCTGATGGTTATTTCAGGGTTCTCAGGTCCATTAGATGCGCTCCCCCACACACATATCACTTCCTTCGGCCTCCTCCTGCATAGATGCTGGTACAAGCTCGTAGTCTTCACCTGCTCATATTAAGGGTTTGGGGGGATACTTGTCACCTGTATTTGGTATAGTCTCATCCATGAGTTTTAGTTTTGCTATCCCAGTTTTACTGTTTTTAAGGAGTGACTTGGAGAGATTTAAAAACTAAGACACAACTGCCACTACCTTGCCAGAATCTGCATTTTTGTTTTTAAGCTCTGATCTAATGAATTCTTACTCTTGGGGCTCCAACTACTTTCAGGAACTAGCAACTACAGTATGGGCTTTGAAATTGCCAAGCACCCCTCCTCCACGCTCCCAGCCCTCCCACTACACCCTGCTGTCACCCCAGGAGACAAGTGCTTGAGCTGTTGCTTAAAAGGTGTCACATAGTGCTGCATGTTGTATCTTCCTGACATTGCTGGTACAAATCCCCCAGCTATGGAAACACCATGGGCGAGACCTCCCTCCTGGTTTCAGTACAACCTTGGCCCCTGTCACAACTGCCCACTGCCATCTGATGAGAAATGGCTGTCAGTGCTGGGCAGCTAGATGCCAGGATGGGCCCTCAGGCTGCACCAGCGCTGAGAGCTCGGGTGATGGGGGGCAGGCCCCTCTCACAGCACGAGGGACACAGCTGGATTTTACCAGAAGGTGAACAAGCTTCTGGAAGTCAGCACCTGGGGTGCCCACAGGGAAGGCCCCACATCTGTACCCTTCCTTGAATCCCCACTACCTTGTATATAAAACTTCATGAGGTGATAAAGTGAGCAAGATCAAAAACCAAGATCAGCTTCCCTGGAATTCGTCCATAAATTTAGCATAATACTTGCTTTTTTGCAACCGATCTTTTTTTTAAAACGTTTATTTAAGAGTGAGTCTTCTGATCCACATCTCTCATCTTCCCTCTGAGCTCCTGCACAGTACAGTTTTATTCTGGTCCTCAGTCTTTCTGGGGCCATCTCACCTAGTTTACCTCTCTTAGATGCCAAGACATGCAGGTCCAGGCAGGAAGCTCCAAACAGTCGGCACCAAAAAACCTGGCTTCTTGGGCTTCAGCCAATTAAATCAACTTTACTCTGAGGCTGCCTTGGGAAGTGACAGGTTTAACAGCCTGGTGAACAAACAGTGGAGTTGCCGTCACACTTGAGTTATGGTCTGTTTCGGCTCCACATCAACTGCAATTTGCAGCTCCCATTCCCTAGGAGAGGGGAACCTTCAGGGCATCCGACGAGGACTGGAGTTCTAGAGGGGAGGTCTGACACGGACACGGGACAGATGAGAAACATGATTAACACGTCCTATCATTCAAGGAGAAACTTCTCTTTAAGTCCAATCCTATGGAACATAGAAATAAGAACAAGTGTGAACCAAAGGCATTCAATAATTGATCTTCGGTGGATCGAAATATATCCTGCTATTGTGAGGCCACATTACAAATATAACCTGAGCACTGGCCACGTTATCTTGCTCCCTCCCACATAGCAAGGTGGATTCGGTGATCCGTGGGAGAGAAGAACGTGGAAGGGGCAATGGAAATGTTGGCGAGTTTGTTTTCAGCGCTCTGTCCATTTAGGCTCACCTCATCAGTAAAATTTTCTTTGCTGCCACCCTGGTTCTGAACAGTAAACACAGATTAGCTCATTTTATTTTCTGCTCTGCCAGTTGGGGAAAGTAATAGACATTAACAACAATGCTTTAGTGAATGGCCAAAGTATGCTTGTATTTATTCATCTTGCAAAGCCATCCAAACCAAAGAGGTGGTTTAAGATTTAATGAGATTAGTTTTCAAAGAGAACATAGCCATACAGTGGAATAGTCTAGTCATTAAAAATAATTAGATCTATCTGTACCATTATGAAAAAATATCTTAGCTATATTGACAAGTTTAAAAAACAAATTGCATAATATGTACAGAACGACCCAACTTTTGTACAAGGGGTATGTGTGTGTGCATATGCATGTGTATATATTCTTTTCTAGGTACACACATATTCATTCTACACGTTACTAAATACTGAATACAAAGAAAGAAACTGGAAAAAAACACACGGCAGATAACTGGTTAGATCTCCGGGGTATGTCTTGGGTTGGGTTTCTAAAGCACCACACCCTAAGACAAGGATCTGCATGTAGTTTATTGGGAGGCGGGGTGGGGGGGAGGGGGGAGTGGCCCCTGGAAACACTTGGAGAAAGGAAAGTTGAGACACAGGAAGTAAGGAGTGTGTTATTAAACCAGTTACCAGAGTGGGCAACTAGGGCTCCATCCCACGGGGACCCTCAGGAGACAGTACAGACCATGCTTCGAATATCCCAGCCTGGGGGTGAGGAAGCCTGCTGTCCCACCCCAGCCACGACGGTCTGCGGTGGCCGGGACAGTAGCTCTGCTGGCCCTTCAGGCTTGTCCCATGTGCGCAAATCAAGATAAAGCCCGTCCTCTGCAAGTTATAAGACCACGAGAGCTGTGGTGCTAAGGGTGAGACATCCGCCACGTCTGCTATGGGGCAGGCCATGGAAGACACTTCAACGTTAATTTTTATTGGGTTTCCTGTATCAATGACATTTTAAAATGAGGGGAAAAAAACCTGATAATAAAAATACCAAAACATTAGGTTTTCTAGAGAAAAGAAAAAGAGACATACGATTAAGCCAGACAATATGCAGGGAGGCCAGGGACCTCTCCTCAAAGTGGGCCTCCCACCTAGAAAACGTTTGCCCCAAAGGCCACCGGCCCTGGAGATGAGCTCAACTGACAGGCAGGGTGGACAGTGTCATGAGGAAAGAGACAGCTGAGACGAAGCACCTTTGACATTTTATTCACTGATCATAAATACAGTCTCATGAGCGTTAAGGTGATTATGAATGATGTACTAGCACCTGGAACTTGACTGTCACATAGCACTCACTGTTTCACCATCGCCAGCCAGAGAATTCACGGGGGCTGCTCGGGGCGTCTCCCCTGATGAAGTGTTCAGCTTTTGGAGCAGCAATTTTATTCTTGGCTCGTTCTCAACAATTTTAAAAAAACTCAAAAAGATCAAGTATTTGCAAGAAAATATCAAAGAGAATAAGATTTTCAGTTCTTAGAGTCTAAAAGTAAAAAGGGGAGGTAAGAAAGAAGAGGAAAGGGGAAAGGAGTCAGGGGTCTGCCACGTTTCTTCCTTTCCCCAGAGCGTTTACAAAAACGAAAACCGGGGAGGTATCAATGCTGTTTGGAAATGGGCTGCGTCTCTCTGATGAGCCACTCGAGAGCTTCCTGGCGGCCCTGTTTCTGCAGCTCCTTTCCGATCACATCCCTGCAGGTCACGTGGTAGTTGTTGAGCCAGTCGCACTACAAGAGGGGAAGGAGGACAGACGTGGTGCTCACCATGGCACCTTTACCAAAGGCTACACGGGTGAACAGTGAGGGCCCCACGTGCTGAGATCACAAGACGACAGTAAAGAAACCCTTTTGCTCTGCTCACGGACAAGGGATTTCCTTGTGTTTTGTTTCCCTGGAAACAGATGGGACGAGGCCACATCACTTATGGTGAAAATGCTCTTGGAACAGCCTACTGCACGTGGACTGGCAATGACGGTGAGGGAATCATAAATACCTGACGGCAAGACACAGCTCTGGGCTCCTCTAAGGACGGATTAACCTGTAACCAGCGTTCCCCGACAGGACGGTGGAAGCCATACGCACAGGTCATACAAGAGGGAGGGGGGTCTCATAGCTCCTGCACCCACAAAAGGGGCCTCATTCTCTTAAACGTGAGCCATCTCTGGGCGGTGGGAGGAGGGTCTGAAAAACAGCCCCTGGACCGCTGTGAAGACTCTTGCTAAGAGACACAGCCAAAGCTGTGGACACACTGAGTTCCCGATCCTGTATCCACTGACAAAGCAGAATAAACTGAGATGTGGGTCTGGTACTGTGGCTGTCTAACTGAACCTCAAACTTTTGGTGGCCAGGGACTGTGGTGCTGCAGGATGGAGTAAGGAGTAACCTTGACTTTCAGACCCTCAACTGAATGTGGCCACCACACCAGTAGATAAAAAAGAGATAAGGAGGGAGGTCTGACAGGACCTGGTGCCTGGGTGGGGGCTGAGCCACTGGATCTGACGGTGAAAGTCCTGTAGCAGTGAAAGGGTGAAATCTCCCCTCTGTGGGGGATGAGGAGGTGAGGGTGGGGGGTTGAAGGCTGGGGTGAAGCAAGTTCTATCGAGAGGACAACAGCCCACTTTCTTCACTGTCCATCAGGTTGGCCTGACGGGACGCCCAGCTGCAGCGAGGCTGGGAAAAGCAACACCACCATGGGTGCAGTTGTTGTAATGGGCCGAACATTTGGGAAGGCAGTGGGGTTACAAAAGAATGGCCTTGTGGGACCACAGTCTGGACCAGGTACTGAAGCCTGGCAAAGGGGTCTTGACGGGCATACGAGTCCTCAAGGCATGACGGCAGACAGGTGGGGTGGTGTTGCCAGGTGTCTTTGACCCAGCCGGGGCTCCAGTCCCCACTGATAAGAGCCCACTAGGCCTTGCTGGGAGGTGGGGATGGTGTAGTGTTAACGGAAGCAAACTGCCATGTCCGCAACAAGAACAAGTGGGGCTACAAGGTAGCTTGCCATCCAAAACAGCTCAACAGTGAAGGTGACAGCAGCAGCCAACCCTGGGGACACTCCCAGGGCCCTTCTGGATGGTGGGGGGAGCTTCAGTGGGACCTGAGCAACAGCCCAAATGCCCCGACAGTGTGCAGCAGCCCATGTTCCTGTGACCAAAGTCTGATGCTGCCATCTGGTGACAAATGATGGGAATGCTGACCCAACCCCCAAATTCCCTAAAGTGACGGCTAAGACATTCTGGGAGATAATAAAAGGCTGTGACCAGGTGTTTTAAAAGCCCAATGAACAGAATCTTCTAGTGGGCTATCACTGTGCCTTCAAACAGAATGAAACCCCAGATTCACTGAGTGGTATATGGGAAAGGAACCCTTCTGCTGAAAGATAATAAATGTAGTCTGCTTAATATGTTAAGTACCATTATCTACTGTTATTTGTGGAAAATGCTTGTGGTCCCAGGGTAGGAAGATATCTGGCTATAAAAACTAACTGGCCAGAAGAATAGTTCAGCAATCTGACCTTGGTCACCTGCCTGATCTCTCAAGCCCTACTCCAGGTTCCTGGGCCTCCCACTTCCCTGGCCTCATGAGCCTGGGGACCCGCCCTAGGATATGAAAGAGTTTCAAGACGTCTAACACTCTGAGCTTGATAGGCACTGTTGTGCTCCTGCTTTGTGAAGGGGGTCACAGCCCAGCGTGACCAGAATAGAAAGTATCACCTCTATGTGAAAACTAGTCATATAATAATAAATCTTGTTTCTCATTTCCTTAATGTTTCATGCGGCACAAGAAAACACCCTGGTATGTGCAACAGCCAGAGGGGGCCCCACCACCCATCTGGCCTTCTGTGGAGAAGACGTAAGTCCCATAGCAGCTATGGCTCCTGCCCTCCTGGAAAACAATGGTGCATACTTCCTACCCGCACAATGGCGGGAAGTGCAGGACCATCTCTACCTGGTGGCCCAACAAACACAGGAAAAGCACCTGCAGTGCTCAGGAAACCCAGGATCATCAGGCTCAGTCAGCCTAGACCTCTAGCTTAAGAAGTGAGAACGGAGTAGAGAATGCAGGGCAGCTCTGTAGCCCCCACCCCCACACATCTGCCCTCCCCCAAGACTCCCTCATTACCTCTTTGTCTGTAAGAGAATCCACATCTATCATTTTGGTCTGTATCGGAACCAAAGTCAGAGGTTCAAAGGTCAGGCTTCCTCGGTTATTGAAGTTATACTGTGGGAGAAGGAAGAGAACAGAAGCTTTTACTCTTCATCACGATGAACCCCCCATGAGGTCATTCCCACCAGTTACAACCATCCCTCAGAGCCAGGTGTAACTGGTAATCAAGAAATAATCAGCTGGTCATCATTTTTAATAGGCACAGGAGGCACAGTGAACACAACTGATGCCACTTTCTAGGAGCTGTTCCACTGTGCAAACAATGGCCTGTGCCACCAGGACAAGCCAAACGAAGGGTCCCAGCAGCAGGCCCACAAAAGTGATGTCTACTGTGATGGAGAGGAAGTAGGGCCGGGGTGTGGGGGTGTTGGGGCTCAGGGGCATTACTAGTTTTGGTTCTTGAGACTCTATAGAGGTATGATCTCCCAAAATTGTTTTTTAACAGTCAACCATGTGGCCTGCCTTGTCCCAGCCAAGCCCGCTAGTGACAGATAACAGGTGTGTCCACTCCACGTGGTACAGAACAGCCAGGAAACACAACGGCGTGCCGTGTCTCTGGTTCTGGCACAGTCTTTGGGAGAGAGGTGAGAGGCTACTTTCAACATGGGAGCCAAGAGCAGATCCCTCCAGTCGACCTCGTTGGAGGCGTGGAAGCCACTTCCCTCCAACTGTTCCATTTCCATAGTCACCAGTGGAGGAGGAGCAAACAGTTCTTTTAGGTAAACTTAACACCGATAGCCCTATAACCTTTTGGTAATACTGATGGGGGAGACGGTGAAATATGTCTTCCAGAGGGCAACACAGCTGTCCAACTGCCTGCCCATGGGGCCTGACCCATAGTGTGACTAAGGGTTCTTCAGCTTTATCAGATAAAAATCATCTGGGTATTTGTTAAAAATAGTTTCCAGGCCTGGAAACTGAATCAGGGTCTGGAAGGGGTCTTTAAACAAGTACCCCCCAAGCAGAGGAGACTTCCAGATGAGCCGCTGCCTCTAGTAAACTCAGAGCCCAAATCACATCGAGCAGGAATCAGCCTGGGGCCCCATGAATCCCAGTTCTGGGTCCCAGTTCATTAAAGATTTTCTTTCTGGCTTCACAGAGAAGAGTGATTTCTAGGAAAGTCTCCGATATTAGGGAAGGGAGGCTCCATTTTGGCCCCAGAATGGCAGTCTTGCCTCTAAACATAAAAGTCTTCATCTCTCTCCATGAAATAAGAAAATTTTAAAAATAAATAGATATTGATTACTCACCTTGGTCTTCACGGGAACCACCAGGACAACATTCTCAATGCGAATTCCAAAAGCTCCATCTTCATAATACCCTGGCTCTAAAACAAACCAAACCCCAAAATGAGAAGCGGGCCATGATGAAGCTATAAGCACAGGGCTTTCCCCCTGGAATGACAGCCGCCCCGAAGCGGGAGGAGAAACAGATAATGGGTCCACTCAATACGGCTGCAAGAGCCCAGGGAAGCCCTCTTCTCCCACATGGCCATTTCTAATAGGTACTGAAAGAAAGGTTTTAAAGTTCCTGAAAACTGGCAAGAGTAGGGAGGACAGTAACAGGGGGCCCACCAAATAAATCATGGTGCATATCCATGAGGCATAATGACACAGGCATTAAAATACATTCACAAAAATTTGGTAATGACATGGGAAAAGGAAATTTATTAAGAAAGCAAAATACAGACAATAATTCCAGTATAATCTCAATGATGAAAAAAAAAAAAAAGATATGAATATAAAAGACCAAAAGCTAACCTATCAAAATATTAAGTCCTGTTTCCCTGGATGGTTGGATTACAATGATTTTCATTTTCTTCTTCACACTGTTCCATTGTCTCACTTTTTGTACCATGAACACGTATCACTTTTATAATCATAAAAGGTGGTTACTTAATTCAAAGTAACAGGAAGGGAAAATTGTTTCCAATTTACTTTAAAATAATTAAAATATAAAAAATGACAAAGAGCTATGTGAAGGTCACCTACCATCAGTGACAATCATGCCCGCCTCCAAGGGCTCATCGGAAAATGTTTTATAACTGATGCCACAAGGACCCTCGTGAACATTCAGAAAAGACCCAACACCATGTCCTGTTCCGTGCAGGTAATCCAGGCCAGAATCCCATAGTGCTGAACGGGCAAAAGAGTCGAGAAGGTGGCCTGAAAGACACATGAAAAACCATCTGAGGATATGTAAGTACTTTCCAATTTGCAAAGCACTTCAGAGATTAAATTTGTTACGTTTGGCTCCAGAGAGTGAAACAGAAAACAGGGGTAAAATTTACTAGAAGGATCAGATTTCATCCCAGCACAAAGAACCTTCTAACAATCAGAGCTCTTGAGGGCAGCTCCCCAGCCAGGCAGAGCTCAGTCTGAAGCTCGAGGACCATTTGTCCATGATACTGGTGAGGGGATGGTCACCTGAAGCAGGTAAGGGCTGTGTCAGATGACATGGACGTTCCCTTCTGAGCTCTGGGACCCTGAGGTTTCAGAATTACAAAGATGAAATTCTAACTAGATTGCAAGTAGGCAGGCACAACGGATAAGGAAACTAGCGTCCAGGGAGACCAGGTCTTGTCAACTCCCAGTCCAATGCCATACCAACCAGTCCTCACGTAAAGAAGTATGCATCTAAAGTCAGTTCCCAGTAAAATATACCCCAACAAGGGCCCTAAGAGAAGGACGGGGCTCAGTGCTGAAGGGCAGACAGGAGGCTGGATCTACTTCTACTCAGGCGCTGAGGCCTTCATGCCCTGCTGTCTTCTCCTGAGAGCCACCCACATGTGTCAACCAACAACTTATCGGGGTCCCCAACCCCCAAGCTGTGGACCAGTACTGGTCTTTGGCCTGTTAGGAACCGGGTTGCACAGCAGGAGGCAAGTGGCGGCCGAGCCACTGAAGCTTCATCTGTATTTGCAGCCGCTCCCCAGTGCTAGCATCACCCCTTCAGCTCCACCTCAGATCATCAAGCATTGGATTCTCATAGGAGCACTGGTCCCTGGTGCCAAAAAGGCTGGGGACTGCTCCCATACGAGGTTGGGAGAGAAGCACACAGTTAACACCGGGCCCAATCCTAACACTGGCTCCCTGGGAGGCCCTCTGACCTGTCAGTGGGTTCCGGGGCCTCACTTCATGCAGCATCCCCTGGCCCTGGCTGGGCTTGAAGTGGGTTGGGGGCTGACAGAGAGGGAAGGACATGTCCTACCAATCAAATTTAAACATGTTTGATGTCTGAACAAGAAAAAGCCTGCCATATGACAGAGGAACCACCTACCTTTGGTTCCAGTCGGGAAGACGGCTGCACTCACAGCTATGTGGCCCTTGAGGACATATGTGAAACATTCCTGCCAAAGAAAACCCAGGGGGCACGTTGCAGAGTGGGCACAGGCACTCTGGTCCTGTAGTTTTCTGATAGTTCAGAAAATCTTGCCTCTGAAGAATTTTTAGCAATATCACAGAGAAAAAAATCAAAGTAAAAAGAAAAAACACCTAGTAGGAATAAAAGGTTGGCCTGGGGACCAAAGTTCCAGAAAATCTTGAAATTTAATTTAGTAAAAGAGAACTGTCAGAGTTGACCCCACAGATCTTTCCCTTATAATGAGCATTCTGACACATACTATGTCACCTGAGCCTTAGAAAGACTGGAAAATAAAAAGTACTGATGATATCAGCTAACATTATTGAGCCATTCCTCTGTGCCAGGCACTGTACATTTAATCCCACACTTCGTGGCAGAGGCACTGTAGTCATCCACACTTTACAGAGAGATGAAGTAGCATGCTGGGTTGCATGGTTCCTAAGTCACAGCATCTGGCCTGGGAGCCAGGCAGTCCTGCTTCAGTATCTGTGCTCCTTACCACCATGCTACACTCAGGGGTATCCCTACTGCCTGGACAGGAAAAGTGCTGTTTGGAAAGTTAGTGGCTTGCCAGGAGTCTGGTCTGGGGCTCTTTTCACAGCACAAAAAGAGTCACGCCAAAGGTATCTGGGCCCAAGGTCAAAGTCTTCAAAGGTGCTGATACCTACAAGCAGGGATTGAAACTACGAAATCAGCCCCAGAGCATCATATAAAACTCTCTTCTCTGGATAAGCTTCCTGAAGTTTATGATTCATTCAGAGACTCAACTAACATTCCCTGGGCAGTGACTATGACCTGGGAATTTGCTGGGCTCATAGAACCTTCACAACCAACCATGGATATGGGTACTTTTATCCCCATTTTTATGGATGGTATAAGTGCCTCGTTCAAGGTCATGGAGCCAATAAAAGCCAAGAAGATCAGAAGCCCAGTTTCCAGACTCCTGGTACACCTCCACATCACAGCTGCTTCCTACTTTCCTTGCCAAACAGACCCGACACTGAGCAGAAAATGTCACCGCAGAGGGCTCCTATAAATAGGAATAGGAACACTGTACTTGAAAGAAGAATGGGGTGGCTTTCAGAATCAAATCTAGTCACTCTTTGTAAAAAGCATATATTTCACTACCCAACTCCCATCCTCAAAGAGATTTCCTAACTCAAGAGAAGGCCAAAGCTGTTTAAACTTGAATATGAGCTACTTTGACCTCAGTAGACAGAATGCTTTCAAAAGTTCCCCAATAATTAAATGGACCTCATAAAGCAGGTAAGCCCGACTCCACTGTAATGAGCTATTTTACTGTCCCACATATAATTTTTATTTATTGATACACCCCCTTTTCATAAAAGCAATGCTCTTCTTAAGAAAGCAGAGAGAGCCTCTCACGCTTTCTGCTCCACCTTACCTTCTCATAAGCTGTAGGCGTCCCAAAATGCATGGTCCGGGTCACGTCTGTAGTTCCATCCCTTTCCAAAACAAAGGACAAATTAGTTTTCCATCAAAATAAGCTTTTGCTCAAAAATGAGACAGATGAGGATGTGGAGAATTTAGAACCCTCATATACTGCTGGTGGACATGTGAAATAGTACAGCCACTGTGGAAAAGAGTTCCTTAAAAGGTTAAACATAGAGTTACCCAATGGCCTGGCGACTCCACACCTAGGTAAGTACCCAGGAGAACAGAAAGCATATGTCCACATAAAAGCTTATACACAAATATTCATGGCAGCATTATTGATAATACCCAAAAGACAAAAACAAACCAAATGCTCATCAACTGATGAAAAGATAAACAAAATGTGTTATACCCATACAATGGAACATTATTCAGCAATAAAAAGGAATGAAGTACTGACGCATGCTAGAACACAGATGAACCTTGAAGACGTTAGGCTAAGTGATAGAAGCCAGAAACAGAAGTCTATATAATTCCATTTATGTGAATAGTCCAGAATAAGCAAATCTATAGACAAAGTATAGCCATGGTTCCCTGGGTAGGGGAACATGGGAGGTGACTCCTAATGGCAAAGTGTGTTCTTTTTCAGAGTGATGAAAATGTTCTAAAATTGACCATGTTGATGGTTGCACAACTCTGCGAGTATACTAAAAACCATTAATTGTAACCTTTGAGTGAGTGAATGGAATGGTATGTAAATTATATCTCAAAAAAGTTGTTATACAAAATAAAATGAAACAAAATGTTCATGCAACGATGGCCCGATGTAGTGGGAGTGAACTCAGTCAGGTGCTGACACACACATTCTTGTTCTACAATGTGACAGCTGTTTCATGGAAGACACCAACACTGGGATTATAAAGGCAAGGGAGGACAAAGTAAACAGAGCCTGTTTCTAGTAAAAAAAGACTAAACTCCCAATTCCTCCTTTCAGGACAGCAAAGAGTTTACTGGCCCCTAAAAACACCCAAACACACCTCTTGGAACACCCTAATCCATACCCTCAACAGAATAACTTCCGGAAGCTTGCTAGAAAGGGTAACTTCCGGAAGCTTGCTAAAATTTAGAAGTGAACCAAAGTTTATACCATTACCCTAGCAATCCCAATACCCCTAGCTCTGGGCTGTTGGCACCAACACCCAAGGCTAGGCTATGGTCTCCGTGTACCTGGCCGAGCTCAACTAATAATTAGGCTCTCTATCAGCCACAGTCCCAACTGCAGTGGGAAAGAGAGCACTTAAAGGCCTTGCTCATGCTCTCTTAATGCAGACACCACCTATTCCAGCCCCTTCTCATGGGTTCTACATCAAGCCTCAGCCAAATCTTGGGTTCTCCTCTGAGGAACCAATATAGAACCATATGATGACTGTGAAAGTGGCAAGACATAAAGGAAATTCTGGGGCAACCTTTGTTTCTCATTTATTCATTCAAAATTAAGTCCTCACTTCACAAGTTCCTAGGCCACTACAAGTCCAGGGAGCTAGCAGGCGGTTTATGGGCTGGGATAGACTTTCCAATGGTTCTGAAAACTTGCTTTCAGTTACTTAGTATTTAACAACTTCCCGCCAAGGACTAAATGTTTCTATCAAACAGTCTTCTGTGGGAAGAGAGTCACAACTGGACTATTTTAACTAGGGGTGAAAAAAAGGACAGGACACAGGAAAGATTCCATTAACGGCCGGCACAGAACAGGATTACCAGCTGAGCAGTCTCAGCTGGAGCCTGTGACATTCTATGGCAACCCCATTCACTTACTTGTACTGAGCGCCCGAGTCAATGAGGTACACCTCGTCCAGCGACAAAGTCCTATTCGTCTCAGGGACCGGCCTAGGAAAGTTAATTAAAAATTAATTATTCCACAAATGTAAAACATTTGCTATATCCTGGAGGAGGGCATACTTATACTTTTTGTACAACTTATGTAAGACTAAAATTACAACAGAAAACAAAGTTACCCAGTAACTTAATTATTACAACTAATAGTAACCTTCTTCTATTCAAAGACCCAGTCAAACCTATCACCCCAATTAGATAAAGAGCTTAGCAAGAGGAGGTAAAATAACATATTTCTTTATATCTATCTCCATTTCTGTCTGGAACAAAAGCAGATGTTCATGAGATAATTGTAAAAAGTACAAAAATAATAATCAAAAGGCACAACAGGACCAAGCTAGAGTCTTCGCAACTGGGAAGGGAGCAGCCTGGAATCACCTGTCTCTGGGTGTGGGGGTCCTGGGCCCCCACCTTGGCCTCCATGTCCCTCCCCACTCCTCAGTCCTGATCCCCTTAGGTGCCTCCCCACTTTCTTCTCAGACCACCAGACAGGTACGGAAATGTCTCAGTTTGGGAGAAAAACTAAAGGGATCTCTGCTAGCAAAAGGAGTAGATCACGACACTCATGCTGAGGCACTTTTTCAAATGAACCTGCGGTATTTTTTAAAAAGGGATCTGATTTTGCTGTGCCTTTCCACACAACATCGCTGTACTGGGAAATGCTAAAAGGGATACGAGCAGTCCAAGTCCACACCCTGGCAGCTGAGAGGTTCTCCTTCATTCCCAGGCACCACCCCCTCTACAACGAGGTCAGAAGCCATTCCAACCAGATGTGGAACCAGCTCCAGAGCCCTGCTATCAACAGGCTTCCAACAGCCTGCAATGAAGAAATGCCAAAGGAGAAGGAAATTCCGCCTCCCTTGCTCTAAAAGTTTTTGATGTGTTAATTACCTGCAAATTCTAGGAAATTCGTCACCTGAGTTAAACATAAGACAAAAGCTGCAGTCCTTTTGATATTTTAATGGGAACAGAAGCATTAATGTGAGAGAACTGTGCAATCACATCTGTAACCCTCTCCCACACACAGCTTCAGAACTTGCCTCAAGACTAAAATCTAAAAGCAATTATCAAAACGGGGGTGGGGGGGGACCTGTGCCCAAGTATGCACAGTGAGGCAGATCAAGTGTTCTTTCACTGACTGCGTATCACAGGTGAGAAGCAAAGAACTCAAAATGCCCAACACGAGCCAAAACCATCTGACTGGGCAAGGCTGAAGCTGGAGCCCAATGGCCAAGCCAGTTCTGTTTTCCACCATCTCCACAGGCAGATCCATCAGTCCTAAACCTATGAACAGCCCTCTTGTCTCAGTGCAGGGATACTCAGCTCTGTGGGCCATGGGCTCCTGCAGGTTATCTGAGAAAAAGCCCCATCAGCTGGGGTGCCAGGCTTCAAGCCCTTCTGGAGGAAAGAGAGGGTGCTATTATCTCCCTACTCATAAGAGGGAGCTCCACAACCTAGTGATAAGTTTTTAAGGGATGGATTTTTGGACTAGCACATCAATAAGGCTGCCATTATCAGGAAATACACTAAAAAACTCTAATAATGAAGATTCAAGGGCTATGAATAGAGCTCCTGCAGCCTCAGAAAGGAGGAAAGGACAACCATTTGACAACATCGTGGAGAATGTCAACGCCATACATCTGAGCCTAAGAGGAAGCTCCCAAAAGGCAGAGGCTTGGAGATTTGGAGAAAATGGGACCTTAAAGGTCTCAGTTCCCATATGAGAACACTGTCAACAGACAGATGGAAGTGGGCACTGGGGCCCCTGGGAAATTATGCCTCTCCCCTGCTCAGGCTCCTGTGCAGAAGCAGCAGCAAAGCCAGGCAGCGTGCTCCTCCACAGGCCTTACGCGTAGTGAATGATGGCGCCGTTGGGTCCCGTACTGGAAATCGTTGGGAAGCTCAGGTCCACAAAGTCAGCCTGTTGCCTGGAACAGAAAGACACACGGAGCAGAGTGGCTTAAAGGGTTTTAATGTGCCGAGATTCAGGGCCCTCCCAATCTCACTTAATTCAGCAAGGAAATGAGCACAAGGTTCACGGGCCCCCTGACAGACCCTTACCTGCGAAATTCTTCAGCTTTGTCAGCAGCTGAGATCTCTGTCACGCCACCCTTGGGCACCTAACAAGGAAGTTGCTTTTAACCACCTGGTGTGATGATTCATGTGTTTCCTACATATTAAACTGGGTACACTAAAAGCTTACTTTTCCTCAATTCTCATGTCTCAACTGTCCAATCTATAGGACACAGCTTATGTCTCATCTTTAACAAGGAAGGAATTCCCAAAGGCTTTCACCAAATCTATCTTAAAGTAGACGCATTTCTATCTGTTTAGTTTTTTACTCGACTCCTTTACCTCAGTATTATATCCTGAAACTTCCCCAAACTTAACACCAAGTAAAACTTCAAAAGCTTCCCCTTAGGATATCATCCTAAGAAAGTCATCCTAAATAAATAATAAAGATAAATGCAATGATATTATTACAGGGTTATTGATAATAACAAAAAAATTAAAAACGTAAACCTTTGAAAATATTAGGAAAGGGTAAATAAATCAGTCTAGCCACTAAATGCAGTCTCCATTTAGATCATTTTTTTAAGCCTCAAAGTACATGGAAAATGCTTACACTACGATACTAAGCAAATAAAATAAACAAAATACAAAATCCTATCTATACACTGAGAGACATGTAAAAACGATTTATACTGGAAAAATGAATAGAAGTCGGAGTTTGGGGGGGAATAGTTATACTGGTAGAAATAAGGGTGATATGTTTTTCCCAATTTAAGCCGCTTTAAAATTTTTAATTTAATATTTAAAGGGAATATGACATTAGGTAATAAGAGCACAAAGAAATCACCCTCCTGTCAACTCCAGGGAGTGAAAGGCAGGAAACTAATGGCCAAGCGTGTTTAATACAAAAAGTTTAATGGCTTAAAGTTCAAAATGCACATAAAGATCTTTTTCTCTTAATATAATCAGTTTGCTTATATTATCATGAGAGTTGTTTTTCCTTATAATTAAATTCCACTTGGTTACGAGATAATTCCTTAACCCAAAAAGGATCCACTCTGGTAAGAAATTTCTTTTTTCATCCTTGTTACTATTTTCTACAATTAAAGAATTTTTAAATACATACACAACAAATTCCCAGAAAGAACTTGTAAAACACAGCACTAAAATCAGATTAAGATCTTAGACGTCATGGTCACCAGAGCATGGAAGGTGCCACGGTTAGAATCACATCAGAATCACGGTTAGCATCTGAACAATCTATATCCACATGTTAAACAAAGACTAAGAACCAACCTCTTTCTCCAGCCAGTTAAAGAGTTCACAGAGGGCAACAGCATCTTTAATCTGTGCAAACAATGGAGACATTTTTAAAGTTACTATTTAAAATCAAATGGGCAGATCCAGAGCCCAGCCTTCTGACCACCAAACATCCCCTCCTTTGCACAAGCTGTTTTACTCACATGAGCTCGCCTCATGCCTTCTGATTCAGCGGAATTCTTCACGGCTTTGGCAATGCAGATGGGGGTGTAAGGCATACAGCAGCGATGTTCCTAGGGGCAAAAGTCAAGAGTACGAACAACAGAGCCTGGCTCTCCTCACCTAAGAGCAAGGCAGTCACCCCTCACCCAGTACCCCACTTAAGGCAAATCATTTGAAGAGCTCCCACTCGGGACCCACCCAGCTGGCCATCCCCTATAGTGCTTTTTGGTTGATGACTCTGAACATGACAAAAGGGGCTTGAGCTCATCCAAAAAAGATAAAATACTTCACACAAGGTATTTTTCTTACATCCCCCACCCGCTCAACTCTTTAAGACTGCTGGCTGCCGGCCATCAGCAAGATATTGCTTTTCAAACCTCCATGGTTGTGGTCAGAGTTCATTAGGACTGAAATAACCCCTTTATTGCTGCACAATAGAGGCTCTTCCCCAATGTCTGGGGACACACATGACTGATGAGGGCAGGTTCCTGCTCCTTCCTCTTTCTTGCTCAGGGACCACACATCAGCCACTATTCATGGTCTGATCTTACAACTGGGAAAACCCTTCCCACTCTGAGAACCAGTTAGAATCCGGCCTGTGTTCCAGGGAGAGGGGACTTAGTACCACCTCACACTTGCGCAGAGCTTCTCAAGGGGCATTCGCTGCCTCCGCTCTCTTTATCCTCTCTCTCACATGCATGCCCCTCGTGGAACAGAGAAGGCAGATGTGATCCCCACTTAAGTCAAGGAAGGGAAGCTCTGAGTAACTGAGTCTCACAGTGTCACACTCAGGAAGGCCCACAGCTCAATGAAGAGAGAACATCGTGGGGCTTGTCAAAGGCCAAGGGCAGGGCAGTCAAAAAGGTGATGTTTAAGGTGGCTTGGATTTCAGTCCTGCCCCGGGCCCTAAGGAAAACTGAGGCGACAGGTACCAGCTGCCAGGCGCCACCCAGCTGCAGCTTGGTCAGGACAAGGTTATCGCTATTATTTGATCTGACAAATCCCCAACTCCAGAAGCCTCCCTGGGCCTCAGGTCTCCTCATCTATAAAATGCTGTGGGGCTGGAGGAGTCGCGTTTCCCAAGCTCCAGGCACTCGCATACCACGTGCGCAGCTCTCATCCTGGCTACTACCCCCCGACTCTCATTTCCTTAACACTTTCCTTCAGACTATCTTTAAATCAACTTAATTCATTAAACTCAACTTTGTCTCAAGAAATCATTTTTATATTATCATGATCTCACATACTATATTTTTTTTCTAGTATATGCTAAAACAGTTTTAAAACAGATACATTTAAAGAAATCTAAAGTCATCTCTCGTGCCATACTCTGAAAAACACAGGACTCAATGGGTTCCCAGGGCCCTCAGCTTCTCAACACGGCTCCAGCCCAAAGGGCTCATCCAGGAAGATGAGACCTCGGACCCAACAGCCAGTCCTGGAGATCGGCCTGAACGATCTCTGCTTCAAAGACAAAGTCACACGACGCCAGAACTGGGAAGGGCCTGGCAGTTGGAGTGTGGCAGGGTTTAGGTGGGCTTCAGTGGGGCTACCAACCTTGGGGATGGCCTCGCTCACAGCATAGCTGGCCTTGTCGCTGACCCACACCTTCTCCCTCGGGGAGAGGTTGGTGCATAGAACCCTGAGCTCGCTCAGAATGGACTTGTAGGGAAGCACCTGGATTCTATATTCAGCTTCCAGCCCCAAGTCAAGAAGCAGGTGCTCCTTTACACTGGGGGCATCTATGCGGTCACCGTCAATGAAGAGCCTGCAGAGGGGCCAGAGGTGAGGTGACAGAAAAAGGAAGGTTCGTCAATAAGAAAAAAGACCCCAACACACACAACGGGCTCTAACCTTTGGTAATCAAAACCAAGCAGCTTTTCCTTCCTCTCATTCCATTCGCAAATCCTGCTCTACGAACTGTTCCCTGTCCCTGTGTATATTGTCAGCATCCACCCAATTCCCCGTGCCGCTCCTTCCCTCCTAAATTAAGGTCTTTGGACCAACAGCCTAAATCTCCCTCAAATCTGTCCAGCTTTACCTGCAGCCTGGCCCAGGCACTGTCCTGGTTCAGGCCACTGCCATCTCTCAGCTGGATGACAGTCACAGCTTCCTAACTGATCTACCTGCTTCCAGTCTCCCCTAAGCATGCTATTTTTCATAGACATAATACTCCTTATGATTTACAAGCCTCAATATATGGCTCCCTGTGAAGATCTCATTCAATAGCTCCCCAGTATCTTCAGGATAAGAGCCCAAGCTCCTGAACTTGGCTCACAAAGCCTTCTTTGATACGGGCTCTGCTCACCTTCTGGCATCACATTCTACGTTCCAAGCTCACTGACCCACACTCCAGGTCCTCCACACACACGGTGCTCTCTCCTGCCCAGAGCCTCTGAAATGCTGTTTCCTCTGCTTCGATCACCATTCCCCTTGCCCCCCATTCACCTAGCCAACTCATGTGGACCCTTAATCTCTGCTTCAATACTTGCTTTCCTCAATAGTCTCCTTGACCCCCAAGTCTAGGTCAGGCCCCTCCTATGACACCCATACCTGTCCTACTGACAAGTTAGTCACCACTTTTGTGCCTAAATCCCCCAAGCAGACACTCATTTCCCAACTCTGACCTGGGCCCCTGTCTGTCTCATTCACCCTAGCACCCAACAGAGACCCTAGCACATAACAGGCACTCAATAAATGTGTGGTCTGAATGCAAAAAGCCATCTAAAAAGAAGAGCAATAGCGCGAAGGCCACAAGCAACACTTTAAAAGACAAGCTGGATAAGGTGTGACTCAGGGGTTTTCCTGTGCCATTTTTGACCTTCAAAATGACTGGTTTATTTGCATCATGGAGTTGGATTGTATAACTTGTAACTGAGCCTACACACCCTTTGCAATGGCTGCTAGAAAACTTGGGGTAAAACCTAAACCTCACTCGGTTTTGTTCTGAAGTCCTCACCTACTTATTCTTTTATCTCATAGTACTATAAAGACTTTCATAAATTTCAAATCATTTGGGTTGAGGAAGGATATAAATAAATGCCTACTGTTAGAGGCATTTAGACGAGAAGGGAGAGGCGGGGAAAGCAAGAAAGGGAAGAGCAGGAGAAAAGCAGCAGATCGGTGGAATGTCAAACAGTGACTGCTGGGCCTGGACAAGAAAGGGGACACAGGGCTCCAAGTAGCTGTGAGGAAGAACTTTCAGGTGTGAGACAAACACTCACATGATCGTCTCTAGTCCTATGACTGCGTAGGAGAAAAATACTGGATTGTGCTCCACATCTGATCCTCGGAGATTGAACAGCCCTAAAAAAAAGAAAAAGAGTCCCTGTCACCTGCTGACTTGAGATTTCAGGGGTGGCTTGCAGGGGAGGGAAGAGCTTCAACTTGCTACGGAAGGATTCAGTGGCCTTTCTCAAAAGGCAAGGAACCAGTCTACGGCCATGCCACCCTGAACGTGCCCAATCTCGTCTGATCTCGGAAGGTAAGCAGGGTTGGGCCTGGTTAGTACTTGGATGGGAGACCACCTAGGAAGACCAGGTGCTGTAGGTATTTAAAAAAAAAAAAAATTCTGCAATCAAAAGGCAAGTCGTCTGATCTCGGAAGGTAAGCAGGGTTGGGTCTGGTTAGAACTTGGATGGGAGAACACCTAGGAAGACCAGGTGCTGTAGGTATTTAAAAAAAAAAAATTCTGCAATCGAAAGGCAAGGAATCGTACTTCCGGGTTCCATCTCTGAGGTGCAGTTGCTCATGTCCACCAGACGATGGCACCAGAACTGTTTCTTATGCCGCCATCTCACCGTCCCGAGAAGGGAATGGAGGAGTTATTGGTCAGAAAACATGAGAAATACCCTCCAAACAAAGAGTTGAAATGGTCCGCCTGGTGGTGACCTGCCAGCCTGGCCTTGCCGCAGAAAAACCTCTGGCACTCCCAAATAATGGGGAAGGAGCCAAGCACTATCTCCTTTCCTTTCCGAGGCAAACTACCTAGGGAAGAAAAACTGAGACCCACCCACGAGAGAGGACAAATGAGGCCCTCCAGGCAGGGTCAACAGCCCCATGGAGGCGGAACTTTTTAGGAGAGGAACAAAAGCAGTGAGTCAGAGAGGCCCTGAATGAAACCTGAGCCTGCGGGCTCACCCCAGGGTCAGCTGTGCTACCAGGACTGGGCCCAGGACCTGCCTACAGCCAGTGTCAGAGGGTTTGGTGACTGACGTTTGAGAAAGGAGAGGGACCAGCAGAGAGCACAGCTCTGACCCCAGGGCTTCCAGCTGTCTAAGGCTTTCTCTCCTGAGGATCCCTGCACTTAAAGCCCCAGGTGTAAAAAGTACTGCCTCTATTTTAAAATAATAGCTTCTCAAAGTAAAGCAAGGAGGCAACGTATTTCATCTACCAGACTAAACAAACTCTTAACAAATAAAAGAGCACCTGGGGCTGGCAAGGGTGTGGCACCATGGGTGTATTCATAAACCACTGTACAACCTTCCTGGCAGTTAAGTAGCAAGACAGGTCAAAGCCCAACCACGTGCATATCCTGTAACCCAAAATAACCACCCCTAAAAGCCAACCAGATCTAGAAAGAAAACTATCAAAAACTATGACACCAATTCTGATACACCAAGATTTTGATGACAGTATAATAATGGAATTGTGGAAAAACTGGAAATAACCAAAGGTCATTCTTAGGGGAATGGTTAAGTAAATTATAATATAACCAACCATATGATGGGATATCTAATAATCACTAAAAATCATGCTTATATGCTTAGAGTATACTGATAGATTGAAAAACAAGCTACGAATTTACCTATGCACAGAATATTAACAGTGATTGTATCTGGGTAACAGATGATAGGTGATTTTTTTCTTTTTTCTACTTTGCGTTTTCCAGGTTTCCCACATGGCAATGTGTTTTTTTAGTAATCAAGGGGAGAAATTTGCTTTATATGTTATTTTCTCGCATGCTGAGATTATTAAGTTAATTAGGGATGTAAATCACTGATACACTTGACAAAGTCTGGAGACTGGTGGTTTGGAAAGATAGGACACTATGTAGTAGTGTTTCTTTCTCTGGTGAGAAAATAAAAAGATAAGGCAGTGCCTTTTCTCAGTGACCCTGGGTCAAATCTAGTCAGAAAACAGGAGACAGGACAGGAAGGTTCAACCAGATTCCTTCAAATTCTAGACTATAACAAAGGGTGGTTTAAGGTCTGAAAATTGAGAAACTGCTATTGTATCAAAAGGCTTGGTGAAACCTTCACAGTGAGAATATTCTAGAAATATTTCTAAGTTTTCTGAAGTATTTCTAGAATATTCTCACTGTGAAGAAATTGGGGAACCACAAGAAAAGTATAGAAAGAAAAAAATGTCTCCTATGATCCCACTTCTACACCTACAGAGAAACACGAATGCTTGCAGACACAAAAGATGTCTTCCACAGAGATGTCATAGTCCTGGAGAGACCAGCCAGAGGTGAAATCACCATAGATTTAACACCAGCCTCTGGCTGTCTAACACTACTCAGGGCCAGGCTACATTCCTCTCCCCCACTCCCTATAATTCTTTCTCCATCCTACCTGGCATATCATATCGTATAACCACTTGGTGACATAGTCATTTGTGTATTCCCTGGCTACTCAGAAAGCTGAATAGCATGAACACACAGATTCCCAGAGAACCAAAGGAGAGGCTGGGTAATGTGCCCAAATAGTGAAATCAAAGCACTCACACGCAATCTCATCCAGGGCGGTGACCACAAACCACAAGATGTTCCTCTCAGCCATTTTCAACCGAAGGTCTGCAACCTTGTCCTTCCAGGAAATACCTGCAAAAAACATACGAACTTGCAAATCCGCCTCTGGTCCCAGGGACCTGTGTCCCAAACATTCTTAACCAGCACGTGTTGCCTGAGCAGACAGAAGGCCTGGAATTAAGCCCTACACAAGAGGTGTGACTCTGTTGAAGCCAGCTATCAAGAGCCCTGATTACGTCACCAGCGAAACTGATTCATTTGTTCATCCAACAAATGTCTATGAAACATCTAGACTTCCCAAGCATAATGCTGCCAGCCACAGTGCTGGTCACTGTGGTTACATCTTTGAGTAACACCCAGTCCCTGCTCTCATGGGGCCTACAATCTAGAAAGGAAGACAGGCAATCAAACCAAAACCAGCAATTGTTACAGCACAGTATAAAAACTGATGTGAAAGCAGCAGCCCGGGGAGCTCTGAGCACACACTGCCCTACAAAGAGAATGTACCCAGTCTTAGAGGTCGGGGGTATCACCTGCCACCTTACATTCCCGGAGCAGTGAGACTCGCCTTCCAGTGCGATTCCCTACGGCCTGACTCCCTGTGACTACCACTTCCAAATTACACTTGCCCTATCAGACACAGCCAAGACCTCCTGCTGCTCCCCAGGATGAAATTGTAGCCCACCACCACCACTCTCCAAGAAACAGCTTTTGTAACTCAGGTTACAGACATCTGTAAACAGGGCAGGCATCTGTCTTATTCACCCAGCACCTAGCACAGTGTCCCACACATAGTGGGCACTCAAATGTTGGCTGAACATAAATCTTACCAGCAACATTTACTCTCCCCTCTACGAGCAATAAGTCAGAGCCTCTGCTTCAGTTTAAAAAAAAATTCAAGACACGCAGACAGAAAATGTTTAGCTGACCCTGGGCCACACACTGAACCCAGCCCCCACAATCTGCCATACCGTCAGAGCGTGTCACAAGGAAAACAAGCTGGGGACTGCCCCCATAACCAAATGCTGCTTTGAAGCTCGGCTCAGGAATGCTATTTAAAACTTGGCGGAGAGTCTGGGCTGTAATGCTTTCTTCCCAGGACCCCTCTGGGCAATCTGCCTACATTCCAGACATCCCCCATCCACCTCTCCTCTTCGGTTTCTACAGCAGCCCCACCTCCCAGGCCTTTCCCTCTGCACGCCCTCACTGTCCCATAAATCCACACTTTCATCTCCCACAAATCGTTCACAAAACTTGCTCCTCGCCCACCTCTATCCGAAGGAACGCACCTCCACCCCGAAGCCTCTAGAGTGGAAGGTATGAGAGGGCAGGGGACCTAGCAAGGTAAGCCTACAAATGCTGGAAGAAGAAAAGGAAATGGCACCTAGAAATCTCTAGGCTCTGTTTCCAATATCAGACACGTCAAAGGGGCAGTTAGCAACTGAGCAGTAAAAAAGCCATCTTAGCAGCACCGAAAGTCTGCCCAGAAGAGCTCTCCAAGAGTTAACTCTGCCAAAGTAAGTGGCAAGTAGGTGGCAACTGTGGAAATGAAAAAAGCCCCTGCTTTCACCAAATGCCCCCACCGTGCCAGGGTAGGGCAAAATCCTCCCATCAGCTCAAGCGTGACTTGGATTCAGAGGACTCGGATGGAGACAATGGCGACAGGTGGAGGGGACGATGGCTGGAGGTACTACTGGGCATGGCCACAGTTCTCACCTGTGTAGTCCAGACCCAGAGTAAGGAGGGGCTTGCAGGGCCGCTCGGGACGGTCTGTCCAGATCTTGTCCACAAGGTTCTCCTTGACAGGAATGAGGTGGTGGCCAGCGCTTCTCAGAACCTTGGCCATCTTCTTCCAGTAATCTGAGGAGAAACACGCATCGGTCAGCCATGAACTGAATGCCCACAACAGGCAACAGGGCTGTGGGAGCCTGGCGCCCTCTAAGAGGTGACCCTCCTGTGGCCCCCATATGTGGGTGAGAACCTGTAAAAAGACATCTTCGCCACCAGTGGCCTCCCCACCTCTATGCTGGAATTCACCTCCTTACCTTGCTTGACCTTCACTGTGGCATCGAGTCATGCTGAGCCCATAAATGTCCCACAGACCACAAGCAAACAAGGATAGAAAGGCACCTAGAACCTACTTTCTCGCCCAAGCTCGAAGGGCCGAGCTCGCTCACCTGTAGGAATGATCAGTGGGTCCACACCAACCTTGGATCCTTCAGGAAGTACACTCACCAGCCAGTCTTCCTGGGTTGGTGTGTCTTTCAGACCTACGGAGGGACGAACTGGTGGGAAACAGTTCCCAGTGGGCCTGAGCTCACTGTCCTATCCAGAAGGATGCAATTCACCAACGTCATGATAGCAAGGTTGTTAGTAAGCATCTTAAGGTAGATTGGCAGGACCTGGAAAATCTCAACCTCCCTTACCTCTGGAGGGCTATGAGAAATGTAAGATGATAATCAAGGAAAGCATAAGATAAGGGTGAGACAGGAAAGAAAAAAGCAGAATTTCTATTAGACCTCTGGTAAAAATGGCACCCTAGGAATCACTGCAACAAAGGTACATGGTATCATCACGAAGATCATCTCATCAGCCTTCAGCCACTTCACCATTCTTGGTCACCTGATGAGAACAGGGGAACGCATGCCGCAGTGCCTTCCCCTCATCTGGAGGGCAGCGCTGCAGACAGAAGCACCCACCCCACACCTGGGGCTGACTCGAAGGCTGAACACGAGCCTCAGCAGCAAAAAAAATCTCCCCAGAGGTTACAAGAAGGACATACAAGAACTGCCATCACTGTCTTCAACATGGCTGCCTGGGCTTCCCATCTCCCAAAAGGAAACAGCCCTTTCTGTTTCTAAGAGGCTAGTCCTAAGACACCAAATAAGTTTCAAGAAAGGAAATAAAGTTATTTTTGATATTCCAGTTATTCTTTAATCCAAGCCGTATCTTCCGTGTTTGGGATATATACTTTTTAAATCAGATCTTTGCTAAGCAATTAACATTTTGGTTAAATATATGTTTAGAGTGAATGTTCAGACATTCCAAAACAGTACTTATCTTTACTATTTTCTCTACTGAGTACTGATAACCACATAACCACTGAAGGGAAGTTCAAAGGTTTATAAGGAAGTGAGCTCGCGAATCTCAGTTCTAAAAAAATGCCTAGAAGCTGGCACTAAGTTGTTATTTTGCTATTTGATTCTTCCCTTTTTTTCAAAATACTAAACAAGCCCCTTATTAATGAAGTTTCTTTAATGCCCCTAATATAACTTTCACAGGATGAAGTCAGGTCATCTCCTAACAGGCAGATATTTGGCAAAGCCCCAGGGATGAATCACTTACCAACCAAACCCACCAGAATCTCCCAATACAGGAGAGATGCCTGAGGAAAGGTGGGCTTAGGGAAGAGAAGTCTCAAGGAGAGGGCTTAGAAGAGAGGAGGACTCATCCCTCAGGCCGCCACACACCCACTTTAAGGAAAAGGCAGACAATATAGTTCCTCTGACACTCTGACCCCTAACAGCTGGAGTTCTGAGCCCTAAAGGGATGTCCACACCTCAGGAGGACACTAAGTGACCCACTGGGGTGCAAGCAGAAAATATTAGAATTTCTATTTGCGTTATTTTTCTAAAAAATAAACTAATCTTTGCTCATATCTGAAATACAGATGGACGCTAGCAAATATATCTAACATATAAGCAAATATACATACATATTAAGAATATAGGAGCCATTAACAGAGGCATGTAATTAAAAAGTTTACAGGCCTAGCAGCTTGTCCATTTATAACAGCCCCACAGTTTCCAAATGCCTGTGCATGTGCACACACGCGTGTGAGTGTGGGGGAGGGAAGGGGGAGGAGGAGAGGGAGAATAACTTCGGCAATAAATCTACTGCCAGGACAAAAATGTTCCTAAAGCCTCCCTAAGATAAACAACACACATATGTGTGTATGGAGAGTATGTGACATACATGTACACACACGAGCATGCACACAAACACACATACTTCAGTATGCTAGCTGCTTAGATCTTGGTGTCAACTCAACTCAATTCAACTAAGTGTCAACAGCCTCTGTTCCATAACTATGAGTCTGGTGACAACCTGCTTCCTCATTTCCTCCTACAACAAACAAGAAATATCAGTTTTGTGCCTCGTCCCTTCCTCACTCAGCTCTGGTAGCCTCTTTTCCCTCCTTATCTTCTACTCTCCAAGTTCAAACTTCCGGAGAAAGAGACCTTTGTACAACCACGAAAGCCATGTTCCTAAAGACTATTTTAATGACAAGGAGAAATACACACAGCACAAAATTAAATGAAAAATGAGAGTACACACAAATAATTATTTTCTGATAAACACTGAGCTCTATACTTTCCATATATTGCTTCTTTAATTCTCACCAATTTATGTGGTACTTACTCTTATTATCCCATTTTACAGACGAGGAAACAAAAGCACTGAAAGTGGACTAACTTGCCCAAGGAAGTTCTCCCATCCTGTGCTCTTCTCCAAAGCTGAGGTGCCAGAAGCGAGTCCAAGATCCTCAGGGGAAGAGCATCCTAGCCTCTACTGCCAATGGCCCCTTATCTCTATCTTACTCTGAATCATGAAGCAGCAGAGAGCAGGGGAAAGGCCTCCAGTGCATGAGTCAAATGCATGGCATGTGATATGATCTGCAGCAAATAACTGTCCTCTCTGGTCCTCTGTTTTCCCTCATTAAAATGAGTATCCTGAACCAGGACCTTCTAAAACTGAATGCACAATGGTAAGTATATATAAGGAAGCTATTTTCTTGGTTTTCCTCATGCCATGAACTGGACTGTGTCCCCTCAAAATTGATGTGCTGAAGCCCTAACCGCCAGTATGACTGTATCTGAAGATAGGAGTTTTAGGAAGTAATAAGGTTAAATGAAGTCATAAAGGCGGAGTTCTAATCCGACAGGACTGGTGGCCTTCTAAGAGGAGGAGAGCTCTAAGAGAGCTCTAGCCATGTAAGGAGTGAGAAGATGGCCGTCTGCAAGCCAGGAAGAGAGCTCTCACCAGAACTTGAGCACACTGGCATCTGATCTCAAACCTCCACCCTCCAGAACTGAGAAAACAAATTTCTGTTGTTTAAGCCACCACGTTTATGATATTTTATTATGGCAACCTGAGTAGACCAAGACACCTTCAATTCTAAAAAGGGTTCATATCAGGAGTGCTGAGGAGCCCTAGGGTCCCTTCTGAGAGCTGGCCAACTAAGGCTGGGAATGGTCATGCCTCTACGCACCCATCTTCATAAGCGTCCAGTTGCTGTCCATCTGCTTGGCAGCCTGGAGAAAGTAGCGCCCGTCGGTCCACATGGCTGCATGCTCTTCTGTGATGATGGCTGTGCCTGGAGCAAGGGAGCAAAAAAACGAGCTAATTTTCTGACCACCCAGAAGCTGCACAACTTGACAGCAGATGGGCAAGCATGGTGAGAGGCACCAGCTCCCGAGAGGCCCAGCCGCCCAGCACCATGCTAGTGGGGCAGATCGGGCTTTGGCTCCAGGGAAACCTCCAGGCAAGAGAAGACAATGCCACAGAGAAGCAGCCGTGGGCCAGGCTCTGAAAGACACGGTCCTGAGCAGCCCTGGCTGCCTGGGTACTAGTTCCTGCACAGAAAGGACCCAACCTGAGCAGCATGAGTCCAGGCAAGATGAAAAGAAGACTGTGGATCCAAGGCCAAAATGGCCTCATAATTAACAAGACTGAGGCAGAAATGGTTCCTGTGTGTGATCACAGCGATCTGCTCCACCAGAAACCCAAAGGAGTGTTTCGCGTTTCCCAACAGAGACCAAGAGGATCCTGCGAGTGTTCGTGATGACTCAGTGGGAGTTTATGCCTCCCATCTCTACCTGCCCTCAGTTCCTACAGGCCTGGCAGAACTCAGGGCTTTCCAAAGAGGTGTCAGCCAAACCCAATCCTAAGTGCCAAGCAACACAAGCACTTACACAGAAGGAAGCAGTGGGCTAACCACATGGAGAGAGGAGCTCTCGCCAGTTCTAGCTAGCTAAAGGGACGTGAGTCTGAAGGGGATAACCCGCCCTAACACTAAAGGGCACGGCGGCCTTGGAAAAGTTAGGGCAGGGCACCAACGCGGCTCAACATTAACCACTGTTATTTAAGCCCAAAGTGAAAACAGGGAAACCAAAAGTCAAGCACTTGGAGAATTAAGCAGGACCAGTAAGCTAAAGTGGGAGTACGGGGAGTTATGTCTCATTACTTATCTGGAGTGCTAGCTGCACAAGTACATATTCAGTTTAATTGATATAATTTTCTGTATTTATGTTATATTCACTAGAAAGTTCAAAAACATTCTTTAAATAAAATTTTTTTAAAACTTTACAAGTAAAGGCATAGAAAAAAGGGTCACTAAAAGGTGACCTTAGGGAGCTAGAGGATGCTGGGAACTCATACCTTTCTGTAGGGGCTCAGTGAAGAATGTCTGGTTTGCATTTTCTTTTTGGTTCTATATCACAGGCTGAAACTCGTTCCAATTATTTTTAGGAGGCAAACAAAAGCACAAGAACAGAGAGAATTTAGTGACTCACCTGCAGAGCCATCGAATCCAGAGACGAAGGCCCGCCGACAGTCACAAGGAGCAATGTACTCACTCTGGAAAACAAAAAGGACAATAAATTGGACCTCAATCAGTCACGTGCTGGCGCCAATTGCTTTCCACGTGCTCAGCCCTGTGCTAGGCCCAGCAGAGACTACAAAGGCTGGCGTATCCTTGGCACCAGCCTTCAAGGGACGAGCAGTCTAGCTGAAAAGGCTAGCTGAACATTAGAAAAGAAAAAAAATAGCGCACAGGGCAAAAGATCTTAATTAATTAAGGGCGAAAAGAGTTGCTCCCTTTCACCTCTATTTCCTCATCTGCAGCACAAAGCAAGTCAAGAGAAACTGATTAAAACTGCTCTTTCCTCGTTGAGATCTTACTCAAAAAAACAAACCAGTAGCTTTCTCCCTTCCTTGCCACTGACATTTAGACATCTGTTATTTTTCTGAAAAGGCTGAACTTCTGTTTTAAGTGCCAATAATTCTCTAACTTAAATCTCATTAAGTATTAACTTGTTTCTGAACTTCCTGTTTGTGTCCCCCTTCAAAGTAGTATCACCAATCACTCCCACGCAGATCCTACTCCTTCCTGCTAAGGAAAAAGGAGAAACACTTCCTCCAACCCAGAAAACTTTAGCAAAATAAAACATCATAGACAAATCCAGGTCCTTCCCAGATGATAATCCCCATGCTTCTGAATGAAAGGTGGTTAGGGACTGAAAAAAAGTAAGTTCTCATTCCTGGGCAGAGGGTATGAGGCCACACTATGCAATTTCTGGTAATAGCCAGTGAGGCACAGAAAGTTAAGTAGTTTGCCCAAAGTTACACAGCTGGCAAGAAGCAGAGGCAGGATTTGAACTCGGGCAGTCAGCTCTACAGCCTAATCTCTGAAGCCCTATGCCATGCTGCCCTATATGACATATTACCTCATCCTTATGACTGATAAAAGGAATACCAATAGCAAATGAGAAAACAGAGGTTCAAAGACAGACTCTAAGTAACCTGCCCACTGGCAGGTCAATAGCAAGGCCAGGATTTGGTCTGCTTGAGACCAGAGCTGCTGCTCCTCCTACCATTAGCAGGTTTCTCCTGAGATAAGTACCTAGCAGGGTTAAGGATGCTTAGGATAGAGAATGGGGCTTCTGGCTGGACCCTATGGCATGTTAAACAGTCACATGCTGTAAAGGAAAAAAGGGCACCTGTGTTCCACTTCTACTGTGTGGGTAAGAGCTGTCCCTCTCACCAAGCCAGCCACAAGACCACTACCCACGGAGAAGCCAGATGGGCCAGCAGAGAGAATCATGATGGCAAGATGGAGAAGCTTTGGGCCACAACTGCCCTCTAGCAGCCTAGCTATGTGGTCCGCAACAAGTCTCATCACCTCTTTTGGCCTCAGTTCTTCATCTCTAAAACAGTCATTTCAGATGGCTAAATGCAATAGCAGACACATGTTTTATCCCCCAAAATATAAAGGAGTATTTAACAGATCGCACTAAGGATATAGAAAGAAATGGGCACCAGCATTATGAACTGCAGAACCTTCATTTATCTATTAACCCAGTAATCATTGGTGCAAGACTAAAAAAAAGGCAAAAATGGGTGGAAGGGGGTCCCACCCTTCTCCCAGGACTGTTGTGAAGAACAGTTAATGTTTAAAACAACTCGCCAGAAACCGGAGAGTACTGCATATATGCAGCAGAAAAGATATTATTAATTTCTTCTCCCTGAATGGTAAAAAGACATCTAAGAGGCTGCGGAATTAAGTTCACAAAAATAACTCCTGTACTAAAAAAATCACAGTGCACAATGGGGAAGGCATAGAGATGGTGGTACTCTCCACAAACAAGGAGGCTCCCTGGCTTGAGATTCCTCCACCTATGACACAGAGTGAGGACATGGAAAAGGGCTAGGAGAGAAGGTACTGCTGACTTTGGCCCGCCTGGCATCTTCCCCTCGGGGACACAATTTTTGAAGAATGCCCCATCCCTATCTCGGCAAGCTGGAGAGTAGGGACAGGGCACCCACAAGGGTTCACCTAGAGGTGCTCGTCAGCAAAGGTAGAAGGAAGGTTTCTCAAAAAGGAGGTGACATTAGCAGCAGGCGGATATGTTTGGTTTAGGGTCATGATAAGGTCTAGGGCAAGAAAGTCTAGACATGACCTACATTGGTCAACGTGCCAGAAAGACATCGCTTACCTAAGCTGTCACCTCCACACCAACAGACTAAGCAGAAGCCAGATAAGCAATGGGCCCGGGCCTCCTACTCTTCCCCAAGCCCTGAAGCTGGCAAAGCCCAGAACATTCGCCCTAGAGAGCAGCATAAGGTCTAAAATAAGCCAAAGCCATAGCCTGTAAGGAAAAAGGCACAGAAGCAGAGCTGTTGGCCTTTTCTCCAAAACCATCCACATCACTCCATCTCTAACACCAGTACTCAGTCCAAGCCTCCATCATCTCTTCCTGGACCACTGCCCCTACAATCCACTCCTCACACACATTCAGAGTGAGCTTATCAAAACGCTGACCCACTTTAGACTCCAGACTTCTAGAACTACAAGATAACAAATCTGTATTATTATAAACCACTAAGTTCGTGGTAATTTGTTACAGCAGCAAAAGGAAAAGAATACTTATCCAATAGGAAAAAGGACAGAAAGGATTATAACCAGAGTTTCAAACTCAAATGCCTTAGGGGTACAGGCAGGTAAACTGAAAAAGTAAGGCAAGACAAGGGGTGATTTTTCTAGAGACAGCAGCTCCTTCTTATTCATCTGATTCCTCTCATGCTGGAATGCAGGCCACAGATTGCCAACTTTCAATATTTCAGGAGAAGGTAAATGAGTGTTCATGAGAGATCGCTCAGTTTTAAAATGTTGGCATCTAATCAAACGATGTAAATAATACACAGCCAAATAAAGCACATCTGTAAACTATGGGGGAAAAAAAAAGCCCTAGCCACCTCTCGAAATCCAGCCCAAATGCACCATCTTTCACAAAGCTTTCTGACTCATCCACCTTCCGACATCTCCCACATCTCTGAATTTTACTGGACCATCCACGCTGGCACTGATCCATGCCCTCCCTCGAGTGACAACAAATAACATCGGCTCAGATTTACTAACACCCACTAGTGGCCAATAACTATATCTATTTCCTCTAATTCTAATCCTAAGAACAACTCTGGAAGGTATCATCCTCCCTACTTACAGATGAAAAACAAAGTTCAGAGAAGTAAATTACTTATTTCTCCAAAGAACCACTGCTTTAAGTGGCAGAGCTAAGGTCTGAGCTCAGGTCTGACTTTCAAAGGCCCATGGCCTTGCCACACTGCCAAACAACCTTTTACTCTGTATGGAGATTGTGTACATCTGGTCTGCACAATTGGATTATAAACTCCAAGGAAACAAGAAACACATGGCCTGCCCCACATTTACCTCTACCTTCATCCACCACGTAACAGATGTCTCCCACACCCAATCACATCTATGCTCAAGGCTGGCTCCCCTACTTAGTAGCTCGGTAAACCTTGGCCTCAACGTCTTCACCTGTAAAACAGGAATGATAAAAATGCCCACCTTGGAAGGTTGAGGTGTGACATAACGCAATAAGCACATGCTAAGCTTCTGATGAACTGCAGAGCCTGTAACTACACACCAGGCTATACACTAGACTCTATAGAAAATATAAAAAATATCTTGGAGTGGGCAATCTGGCCAGCAAAGACAGGCAGACATCCATGAAATACTAGTCCTAATGAACTATTTGCTATAGTTTCAAGGATGCTCAGATCTGTATTGAATGCATCAGGCCAAACTCAGAGGTTTGATGTGGGCCACCATAAATAGGTGAGGAGAAGCAGAAAGCCATCCAGGAAGGGGGAAAGATGCCAGATGGCCCAGAATAAAGAGGTCTGTAGAGGGAGAGAGCTAATTAGCCTGACAGCTGGGGCAGAAAGTTCAAGGGTATGGCAGCAGAGATTCCTGGAAAGGCATACTGAAGACAATGGTCAAGGACCTCAAAGATCACACTAAGAGGCATGAACTTTATCTTGCAAGTTCTAGAGAGAGACTAGAAGTTCAAGAAGGGGTGGTGACATGAGCAGAACTGCATTTTAAGAGCAGTCAACGTGGCCAAATGCAAATGGAATAGGATAAGCAAGGTTGTTGGCTGATTGGTGAGATAAGCATAACTATTAAAATTATTAGGGTCCATACTGCAGTGACATCTTTCCCCTTCCCTGACCCTTCACTCATAAGCCTGAGTCTGGCACAGTGCCTCAGATATACTAAGTTCTCAACAAAAATGAAACCAAATGAATAAATAAATGGCTATGTGTCCGCAGGAAGTCCCAGAGGTTGGACTATGGATGGAGACAAGGGCTACCTGTCCCCAAAGAACAAAGTAACATCCAGTCTTTGGCATTTTCTTCTCCCTTAAATAAAACCAAGTCAAAGTATATAGATAAATGAATAGCTGTCCACAGATTCACGCCCCTTCCTTGGTGTACACTCGTCAGAAAGTGGCTTCCCCTCCAGGCCTTCATTTCCTAGTCGTCTCGCATCTAGGTGAGGTCATATGCCTAGTTCTCACCAATGAAACGTGGGTGTGAAGTGATGTCTTGGTCAGAGCAGGTAACAATGGGTGTGCCCTCTCCATACTCCTTCCCCTCTGCCAGCTGGAATGGTGGCGTCACAGAATGGAAAGAACCTGGATCCCTGAACTGCTATTCTTCCTAGTGGAAGAAAGTCACCCGCCAACCACGAACACCCACTCTGGACTGCTATATGAGCAAGAAATAAAGCCACAGTACCAGGCCACTGCAACTTCAAGACATCATACCACAGCTGGCATTAATCTAATTAAAAGAATGGATAAAAATCACTCTGAAATAAAAATCGCTACCCCTATTCAGGAGAGAGTCTGTTTAAGAAATACAAAACAGGAAGCCAACTCCAGGAGAAATGGGATTAGCATCCAAAGAGTTCAGGAAAATCTGATTCATGTCTTCCAGGAGGAACCATAAACACAGCCGAAAGCTCAGTTGGCAGAGTCACCTCTGACAGAACATGACCCTTTGACTAAGCTGATCCCAAGAGTGCAATATGGGACCTTATGGATGGGGAAGATGAAGAATTCAGATTTCTACAAGGGACTGCTGATGCAGCTCCGGCTCCAACCAATAATTCCCCTGGTTTGGGACCAGTGGTGCCCACCAATCCCAACATCTGACTTACATGGTACATGAAAACATCCAGATTACCAGAGAGTACGGACAGCTGCTCACTTTAAAAGTCCCCCTGGGCCCAAATTCATTAACATCACAACCCTTGTTCAGAGTTTATAAAAAAAAAAAAAAAAAAAACCTTAGAGTTGCAGAGGACAGCGAGAAGCAGAACCCTGAAGGCAGTGCCAAGGCCTTGTGTAATTATGCATCTGGGGTGCGTTTCCCTTCTAACACAGAACAGTGTGTGGGTGTCTGTATGTCTGTATTTGTGTTTTGGAGAATACACAAAGGACAGAATTCATGATTCCCTTTCATTCTCCAACACCCTCCATTCCCCACCCCTGAGATTCCATCAACTCTGAATGTAGCCTGAAATGAAACAATTAGGAACAAGAGCCACAAAGAACGGCATCCTCTCTTATTACTGAAGAGGCTGCTGTGGCAGGTCAAACACAAAGCCAACCCTTCCTCTTTGTCCTCACAGTCCTGGCAAGGAGCCAGAATCCACTTAGCAGTTCCCCCAACTATGCCCCATCTCTCCACAGAAACCAAAACAAGGAACTCGGGACTTTCTCATTTCTTTCTGTAGATGGCACCATCACAAACGCTCTTGGGTTCCAAACTTCCCAATGCCCTCTGCCATCTACCTGCAAGGTCCACACTCAATTTGTGTTCTGCTTGTCATCCAAACCTTTCACTTCTCTTCTGCTCCTAAAGCCAGCACCCAGGTCCAAGCCATCTGTACCCCAATGCTGGGATCCTGCAATGGCCTCCTAGTAACTGTTTCTCAGTTCTGAGTGCCTCCCTTTTCTGATCCATACTAAACACTGCTCCCTCTGACTGATCATGTCACTCTGTTGTTCGAAGACCCTCAATGGGTTCTAACTGTCTAACAAAAACATAAACTCCTGACTCTGGTGGTCAAGGCCACCCATGACATGGGTGGCTCATGAATGGCCTTGACCAGGACCCTTTTTTTCTTTCTTTAAGGTTATTCATGTTCTCCTGCTTCCATGGATTTGCTCGTACCTATCTCCAAGTACCTAAATTCTACCTATTCACATTCCAATTTAAACACACTTCCTCCATGAAGCCTTCCTTGATCCTGTCAGCTTAACATATTCCTTCTGACATATGAATTCAGTCTATACTTTATCTAAATCTGTGCTGTCCATTACAACAGTCACCAGCACATGTGGCTACAGAGCACTTGAAATGTCAATAAAGTGACTGAGAAACTGAATGTTTCATTTTATTTCATTTTAATTAATTTAAATATAAATTTAAAAACTGATGCTCAGTTATTAGACAACTTTAATGTTTCGAACAACTTGAGTATGTAAGTCTACTTTTTCAACTGTGAATTTTATAAAATCTAAATATGGATCAAATATTTCACATTCAAATGGATATTTCACATTCTAATTGAGATGTTTTGTAAATGTAAAATACACATGGATTTAAAGCTTTAGTGTAAGAAAAAGGAATGTAAAATATCTCATTAATAATTTTTATATCGATGTGTTAAAATGACAACATTTTGGACATAATGGAGTAAATAAAATATATTATTAAAATTAATTTCACTGTTTCTTTTTACTTTTTTAAATATGGCTATGAGAGTATTTTAAATTACATATGTGCCCCACATATTTCTACTTTACAGTGCTAATCTAGTCTTTTCCTAACATTCTGTGTTAGCATTTGTGACCGTGGCTTTTCTACTCTTTAATCTTTTCCCTTTCATCTCTATCACAGTAATAATAATAATAATAATAATAATAGCAGCTAATATGATGAGACTCATCAGGTGGCAGACACGTTTTAAGCATTTGTATCTATTAATTCATTTAATCCTAACAACAGCCCTATGAAGTGGTTGTGTCACTATCCCCTTTTTGCAGATGAAGAAACTGAGACACAGAGACTTTAACTGACACTTAGAAATATGAGGTAACTTGCCTGAGGTCAAGCAGCTGATTAAGTGACAAATCCGGCATCTGAACCCAGACGGTTTTCAGAGCCCATATACTTACCTATATGCTAACGGCCTGCCCTCTGAGTTTGCCACAACTCTTAGCCCTGAGCAGGCAGTCAGGAAACATGTACCAAACAAACACAACACAGCTTCTCCCACCTCACAGAACAGATGGCTAAGTTACAGCAATAGAAATGACAGTTAAAGGTTATAAAAGAAAAATGGTGGAGGAGGGGTTGAAGAGGGAGTAAAGGACAGAGAGAGTATAAGAATATAAATCTGTGAAGCCTAAACAGTGACTTTTGTGATAAGAGTAACGGCTAATATAGAGAACAAGCTTAACTTTTTGGTTTTTTTCAGGATATTACTGGAAAACACTGCCATTCCTGAAGTTTAAGAAAGAATTGCTTTAGGTGTATATTAGGCCCCATTTACTGTCAAAGAGAATTTTTTAAAATCATTAAGGGTATTGGACCCAAATCAGCTTTATGATGATAAAAAATGCTGGCTCAGGAACAGTACCCAGGACCAAGAATAGCGAGATAAACATGGCTTGACTACAAGAATGTCCTCTACTAGTAAACATATAGATTGTATCCTAACTCCAAAACTGAAATTGGAAATATCAACACTACAAAGCTTCTAGCACACCCTTTACCGGAAACTGTCGACTTTTAATCCAAGACTCACAGGTCAAATCTTTCCGTTCAATGAAGCCTCCCCGGAAATGTACGCTGGTAAGTAGAAATATTAGGCGTCTTTGACTGGGGCTCCATGACAGCCTGTGAGATAGATCCCTTTTAGAGGACAGACCCAATTTTACGTAATCATGTGCTAGTGGACTGTGATGGTTAATTTTATGTGTCAACTTCACTGGGTTAAAGGATTCTCAGAAGCTAGCTGGTAAAACATTATTTCTGGGTGTATCTGTGACAGTAGACGAATAAAGACTGCCCTCACCAATCAGTGCACATGGACAACGTCCAAGCCCAAGCCGTTGAGGGTCAGAATAGAACAAAAAAGTGGAGAAAAGGCAAATTTTCTCTCTCCTGTTTAAGCTGAAACATCCATCTGCTCCTGCCCTTGGACATCAGCATTCCTAGTTCCTGGGTTTTCAATACAGACAGGGACTTACGCATTGGTGCCATCTGCAAGCTGGGAACCAGAAAAACCACTGGTGCAGTTCTAGTCCAAACCTGAAGATCTGAGAACTAAGGGAGCTGATATTGTGTGAGCCAATCCCTCCCAATAAATCTTTATTTAGAGAGATATCTATCTATCTATCTATCTATCTATCTATATACATATATCCTATTGGTTCTCTCTGGAGAATCCTGACTGATACAGGGACTTATAGAAGATACCAAACCAACTGCTACATAATGTGCTCCAGCCACGGGAACCACCATCCACCTTGAAATACAGACAGGTGTATACATATCTTAACTCCATTTTGCTTCTTGAGACCAGGACCATTCTCACCTTTGTATCATGGTAGTGCCTTGCACACAAGCAAAGACTATAAAAAATACACGTATAGAAGACTCTATGGAAAAACAGCACTTTATATATTTTCTCATCTTTCTACTAAATCATATGCACAGTGAAGGTAAGAATTCAATCTTAAATTTATCTTTGTAAGCCTAAAGTACCATGACCACATAGAGGCAAGCAAACATTTGCTGATACAATGACCTAAAAGAATAGATCCTAGAATCCCATCATCCTTCTGCCTTTCAGACTGGTAACATGAGGTCTCCAGCTCTCCAAACCCAACTCTCTCACATTTAAGTCACTAGTATTCTCAGAGATAAAGGGCACTTACTGAGTATTTACTGAGTTGCTTCCATTAAAAGCAGTGGTCGGGGGGAGGAGATGGTGATATTAAGAATTATCCCCAAAACCTGCTAGGGTAGATAACGATAACCGTCCAGCTGCTTGTCTGGCCATGCCAGAAGACAGGACAGTCTGGAGGGGAGAAGGCAAGAAGGAGAGACAATTCTGCTAAGGATAAGTTGTGACAGAGGAGATCAGATAAAGTGTGTCAGCAACAGAAAAGTCCAGATTTCTGACCCTTCATTTGTCCACTAATTCTTCCACAATTTATTGAAAGCTGGCTATATTCACTGGAAACAAGGAAGCAAGAACCAAACCAACAGGCATTCAGTGGGACCCTACTGGACACAGGCCCCTATGGCAAGCCCTGGAGGACATGCTTAGTTGTGGGTTGACAACTAGAATCCAATTAATACTTTTGGTCTGGGGGGAAAAAAATGAAATGAGAGGACAGGCTGATGAGTTCCACCACCGGCCCATCTCCACTCAATACCTGATGGGCATCCCCCGACGGGATGATGTAGGCCTGGATCGGTTCTGTCACATACTCCAAGTTCTTCATGGCTTGTCTCAGCTGCCGAAGCAGCTCTGAAGTTACCTTTGGAGGCATTCTGCCGTCTGCAACAACAGGAAAGTGTGTTCCAAAAAACCAGTCTGCCCCATGCGACTCAATGACTACTCAATGACAACTCAAAGAGAGCTCTAGAAAAGCACCTGCCATGTTCTGCCCTACTCCCACATGCACCATCAAACTGACCACCCCACCACCAGACCAAAACCAAAGCTTCCAGAAACTCTAAAGTTTACAGTTCAGTTCTTAAATATCACTTCCGAATAGCCACTGTGGCAAGAAAATTTGAGCTTCTAACACTAATTTCCAAATCAATTGGTCACCTCTTTCACTTATAGGATTTTATGCTAAGGAGATAATTAAACAAGTGCACAAAGACACAGGTGTTTATCTTTGTTTATAGTAGTAAAATAAAGGGGGGAAACACATAATTTATTAAACAGAAGGCCCGTCGCCAAAGTGTTACTAGTGCTTACCTTTGGGCAGAAGGATTTGCAGTGATTTTTTTTTTCTTGTATTTTACTGCTTAAGTTTGTTTTAAAAGAAGTACGTTTTATATTTTTCCTAACTAGCCAACCACAGATTTGGAGTAGAAAGGTCAGTCCACTAGAAGTCAAAAGTCTACATTGTATGGTTCTAGTAAATACATGCTACCAACTGGGTGTACGACCTCAGGGAGAAGGGGATCGGGGCCTCAGCACTGTGTTCTCTTCTCTAAAACATGGTGGGAGTGGAGCAGGTCCAGGGTTTAAGCTGAGCCCCCAAGAAGTCCCAGGAGTCTAGAGGAGACTATCATCCCCATAAAACTAGAGCTGGTACTCCAGCTCTAAAACATACAAAATAAAAACAGAAATACGAAAATCATTAAAAAGAAAATGTTAGGGACATTAAATACAATCCTATTAGAAATTCTTAAACTTTTACTAATTTCTAAGTAGTCGAAATTAAAAAAGTTTTGCCTCCTAGAGAGACTGCTTCTATGTGATGAAGGTATAGATGATGCAAGCTGACTTTAAAACCATATTAGTTGGTTCTTCAAAAACAATTTTTTTCTCAACAAATATTCATATGCATTAATAGTTCTGATAAATCATACTATATAATAGCTATAATTTATGACTAGATAGATGGATAGATAAAAAGATAAACTATAGCACAGCTAGAGCCCCATAGCTAAAATAACAAAACAACTTCAAGAAAAGCCAATTACAGAACGATAATCATATTTTACTACATGCTATA